AATACAAGCAATCCGAGTTGCAAATAAATGAATCCGTCGAAGAATTTTCCAACTGGAGCTGAGAAACTGTTATAGGCACCGGAAATTGGCGCAAATCTCCATTCAACAGAACGACGTTTGCATATGGGTTTTGGTAATCAAGTGATTTCGAAGACAAACAAGCACCCATTGTAACAGCTTTTCTTTGATTTGAATTTTAGCGAATATATTGTTGGGGATTGAAGAGGGAATTGGGGGAGAAGAAGAGTCGTGAATGAATAGCGAAAATTGCGTTGAGCGGTTGAGGCGGTGAAGGATATATATAAAGAAACGCGTGAGAACTGTGTGGTGGCGGGGCCCTCCGTAGTGGAAGAATGAACATAGGTGGAAACGAGGTGGAATCAGCGATTCAGCAGTGACATTACGTAGTATAACACACGACAGCAATTGTTTCCTTCGAGAACAAGGAATTTAAAGTCGAAATGTGGGGTTTTTAGCTGTTAAGCCTTGTTGGTTGCTTAAGGATGAAAATTAGATTTTTAGTGGGTTATTTTGCGAAAATTTGTTGAAATGTGCGCTTTTTTTTTTTTACTTAAATTAAAATTAAAATTTTAATTTTCATCAAACGGAGTTGAATTTTGCGCCGTGATTGTAAAAAGAAAAATATTTATAGTACATCATCATTTACACAATTTTTTACAGATTGGTGAGGAGACGAAAAGAAAGTAGGATGTTTTTTCTTATTTGGTTGATGAAGTTTTGATTCAATCAAATCTGTTGATAAATAAATATGTAAGTTGTGACATATATATTGCACAGTCGAAAAAAATTCACTTAAATTTTACTAATTATTCCGTTGTTTGAAAAGTATAATATATCACATAAAAAATGGGTGTGAACGATTTAATTTATAAGAAATGAGAATGAATGGTGGATAATCATTGTGGACCCATTCAAATATATGGATAAAATGAAGTTTGACAATTATAAATGATTAATAAGTTTTATCCATTGAGGCCTAAAAATAGATTTAAACTAACATAAATTTTGTAAATTTTCTCAATATTGACATCAGCTTGACCTTAAAGACATATAGAAAGAATAACAATGAAAACGAAAAGAAATAAGGAAAGAGGAAAATTTGATGTTCACATCAGACATTTGTCTGCTAAACTCAGTGGTGCAATTAGTTAAATTAAAGGGTTCGTGACTAGAAAGTTTAGTGACGAAATAACTTTTAACTTTTGAAATTATATTTCACTTAGGCCTGCTTGATTGCTCTTTCTTTTTCACGGAAGATGAAAATTAAAATCGATTTACACATTTTTGCATGTTTGATTGACT